AGGAGCAAAAGAACTGTGCCTACCACTCTCCATAGTGTACAACAAATCACTGGCAACAGGGGAACTGCCAGAAATTTGGAAAGCAGTTAACATAGTCCCGATATACAAGGGGATAGACAGGAGGCACTGAACTACAGGCCAGTGTCCCTAACCTGCATACCATGCAAGCTGATGGAGAAGATTGTGCGAAGAAAACTAGTGGAACATCTGGAGCAAAAGAACTTTGTAACACAGCATCAACATGGGTTCAGGGATGGCAGGTCCTGCCTCACAGGGTTACTTGAGTTCTACGACCAGGCAACAAAAATCAGGCAGGAAAGAGAAGGGTGGGCAGACTGCATATTTTTGGATTGCCAGAAAGCCTTTGATACAGTACCACATAAGAGGCTAGTGAAAAAGCTGGAGATGCAGGCTGGAGTGAAAGGGAAAGTACTCCATTGGATAAAGGAGTACCTAAGCCACAGGAGACAACGAGTCAATGTGAGGGGTGAGGTCTCAGATTGGCGAGATGTTACAAGTGGTGTCCCGCAGGGGTCAGTCCTTGGACCTATACTGTTTCTGATATATGTAAATGATCTCCCAGAGGGTATAGACTCGTTTCTCTCAATGTTTGCTGATGATGCAAAAATTATGAGGAGGATTGAAACAGATGATGATAGTAGGAGGCTACAAGTTTTTTTTTTTTTTTGAGATATATACAAGAGTTGTTACATTCTTGTACAGCCACTAGTACGCGTAGCGTTTCGGGCAGGTCCCTGGAATACGATCCCCTGCCGCGAAGAATCGTTTTTTCATCCAAGTACACATTTTACTGTTGCGTTAAACAGAGGCTACAGTTAAGGAATTGCGCCCAGTAAATCCTCCCCGGCCAGGATACGAACCCATGACAGCGCTCGCGGAACGCCAGGCGAGTGTCTTACCACTACACCACGGAGATGACCTAGATAGACTGAGTGAATGATCCAACAAATGGCTGCTGAAGTTCAACCCAAGTAAATGCAAAGTAATGAAACTAGGTGGTGGAAACAGGAGGCCAGACACAGGATACAGAATAGGAGATGAAGTACTTAATGAAATGGGCAGAGAGAAAGTTGATATCACACCAAACCTGTCTCCTGAAGCCCACATAAAAAGAATAATGTCTGCAGCATATGCGAGGCTGGCTAACATCAGAACAGCCTTCAGGAACCTGTGTAAGGAATCATTCAGAATCTTGTATGCCACATTTGTAAGACCAATCCTGGAGTATGCGGCCCCAGCATGGAGCCATGGGGAGCCGGTCGGCCGAGCAGACAGCACGCTGGACTTGTGATCCTGTGGTCCTGGGTTCGATCCCAGGCGCCGGAGAGAAACAATGGGCAGAGTTTCTTTCACCCTATGCCCCTGTTACCTAGCAGTAAAACAGATACCTGGGTGTTAGTCAGCTGTCACGGGCTGCTTCCTGGGGGTGGAGGCCTGATCGAGGACCGGGCCGCGGGGACACTAAAAAGCCCCGAAGTCATCTCAAGATAACCTCAAGATAAAGCCCGTACCTTGTCAAGCACAAGACGAAGTTGGAAAATGTTCAGAGGTATGCCACTAGACTAGTCCCAGAACTAAGAGGCATGAGTTACGAGGAAAGGCTGCGGGAAATGCACCTTACGACACTAGAAGACAGAAGAGTAAGGGGAGACATGATCACAACCTACAAAATCCTCAGGGGAATCGACCGGGTAGACAAGGATAAACTATTCAACACTGGTGATACGCGAACAAGGCGACACAGGTGGAAACTGAGTACCCACATGAGCCACAGGGACATTAGAAAGAACTTTTTCAGTGTCAGAGTAGTTAACAGATGGAATGCATTAGGCAGTTATGTGGTGGAGGCTGACTCCATACACAGTTTCAAGTGCAGATATGATAGAGCCCAGTAGGCTCAGGAATCTGTACACCAGTTGATTGACAGTTGAGAGGCGGCACCAAAGAGCCAAAGCTCAACCCCCGCAAGCACAAACAGGTGAGTACTCACACACACACACACACACACACACACACACACACACACACACACACACACACACACACACACACACACACACACACACACACCACACACACACACAGGAAGCAGCTCCGTAAACTCTGACTAACTCGCAGGTATCTATTTACTGCTAGGTAACAGGGGCATTCAGGGTGAAAAAAACTTTTGCCCATTTGTTTCTGCCTGGTCCGGGAATCGAACCCGGGCCACAGAATTACTAGTTCTGCTCGCTGTCCACTCATCTACCAGAGCCTCAGTATATGTATGTGTGTGTGTGTGTGTGTGTGTGTGTGTGTGTGTGTGTGTGTGTGTGTGTGTGTGTGTGTGTGTGTAGGTGTGGGTGTGTGTGTGTGTAGGTGTGTGTGTGTGTGTGTGGACGAATCTTCTCAATATTTCATACGTTTTTCTTCACTGTCGAGGGAAGTTGAAAAATTAACTGTCCAAAGTTAATTTTTACACTTTATTATAGTCTGCATTGGCTCTGGGCCTTGAAGTGAGTGGAATGTAATTATGTGTTAGCTGGTTGATGATTGCTGGCCTGGACTTTTTAATATGTATTGCCTCGCTGATGTCGAGTCTCCTGCCGCCGTTATACCTGTCGATTATTTCAGTGTTGCTTGTCAAGATGTCTCTGGTGATGGTCTGGTTGTGTGAGGAGATTATATGTTCCTTGATGGAGCCCTGTTGTGTGTGCATTGTTAATCGCCTAGAGAGAGACGTTGTTGTCTTGCCTATATACTGAGATCGTTGGGGCCGACTGTCCCCAAGTGGGCATGTGGAGGCATAGACGACTTTAGTCTCTCTTAAAGTGCTTTTCTTGGTGTATGGAGAGTTTTCCATAAGCAAGTTTGCGGTCTTCTTGTTGTTGTAGTAAATTGTAAGGTGCACCTTCTGATTGGTGTTTGTGGGGATAACGTTCCTTCCAATAATATCCTTTAGGACTCTTTCCTCAGTTTCCTCAGTTCTTTCGGTGTGATATAAACCCCCAGATCTTTCTCTCTATTTGACTCTTGCAGGATTTCACCTCCCAGATGGTACCTTGTGTTCAGCCTTCTGCTCCCTTCACTTAATTTCATTACTTTACACTGTACTGAGATGAACTTTAGTAGCCATTTTCTAGACTCTTCCTCCGGTTTGTCCAGGTCGTCCTGTAGTCTCTGTCTATCTTCATCTGACTTGATTCGTCTCATAATTTTTGCATCATCAACAAACATTGAGAGGAATGAGTCAATTCCCTCTGGAAGA